AAGTTGCATCTATACTTTGCTGACATAGACCTGTAACATCTCTGTTGACATGAGCTAGTGGGCTGAGAGCCAAGAATAGCAGAACCCCTTAGACTAAAAACCTATTCAAAAATGGTCAAGAGTTAAAAAGAGACTTAGGGGTGTTTCAAATAATCCTGTATAAAAATTGTAACAAACACAGATACTTTAGAAGGTGCAGGAGAGACTTCAGAAGGTGTCCAGGAGAGACTTCAGAATGCTCTGGGGTCTGCTCTGCTCTTTCTCGGCTTTATTATGGAGAATAAAGTCTATTTTCTGATATTCAAAACCTCTGGTCTGATAATTTGTAATTGATGAGACGTCAAAATTAACAACAACTACTGAGTCCGCTGCATGTGCTTTGGGGAGGACGATGTCCACACTAGTGATCCAGGAGCGCCACCCCTGACTAGAACTTGGCTGGTATGCGCGAAGTCGACAAAGTCCGCTTTTTTGACTCGCCCATATCCCAAACTGGTCGGCGACACTGTCTGTGAATTCACCCAGGAATTCAAGGCAGTGAGAGAGCAGTCTGATGGGTGATGTCTTATCGGCGGATCCGTAGCCCGCTCCGCCCGCCGTGCCATCCATACCTGCTTCTCGACGAAGGCGCCCGCCTACGAGAGCTGCACCGCCCCCGCACACGCCTCTGGCGAAGCGAGCGTGTCAAGCACCTCGGAAGCAGGCAGCTCCCCCTGCCCAGAACGCCGCTAAGTCCGGCAAAGGACCGCGAAGCGTCCCTGGGACAGGTCATCTGGAGAAGAGGGAACTTGCTCTTCCCCGCTGGAGGGCGGGGCGCCATTTCCAATGGCACCTTTTACTGCCATGAAATGAAAGGGCACTTTTTCACCTCCCCGGATTTGACAGCCCGAAATCTGCCAGTCTGAGACACTGTGCTCTCTAGCTCGCAGGTTCGGTGCGCTCCGCCAGTGGCTCACGAGCACTGCAAGCCCTGCCAGTCTGGGACGCGCCGCCTCTCAGCTCGCAGGGTCTACATGCTGCGCCAGCGGCTCATGGATGCTGGGGGGAAGGTCTCCCTTCTCCCAGCCCCCAAGCCCCTTTTCCGGAGTCAGGGTGCGGAGCCAGAGCGAATCGCTCTCCTCTAGCTCTTCTGTGGGACCCTCGCGCTCCCCGGATCAGCACACCCGCTCTGCGCTGCCCCTCCGCGGGTACGTCAGCGATTGCTGCGATGACATCATTAGCGAGGGCTCTGCCTGCCTGGTTAGCGCGGGCCAGCCCCTCGCGGTGGCTCATACGCACGATCAGACTCGGCTACTAACTTCAGTTCTTGAAACGGCCTCCCAAGTTCACGGGCGGGTATTTCACCAGGGTCAATAGCCCTTGTCCGCCCCTGTCTTGCGAGAGGAGATTGCTGCCCTCTTGGCGAAGGGTGCAATCGAGCCGGTACATCCAGCCGAGATGAAGAGCGGGTTTTACAGCCCATACTTCATCGTACCCAAAAAGAGCGGTGGGTCACTGCCAATCCTAGATCTGCGCGTTTTGAATCGCTGCCTTCACAAGCTGTTGTTCAGAATGCTTACGCAGAGGCGCATCCTCCAATGCGTTCGTCCTCAGGATTGGTTTGCAGCCATAGACCTGAAGGACGCGTATTTTCATGTCTCCATTCTTCCACGCCACCGTCAGTTTCTGCGGTTTGCGTTCGAAGGTCGAGCATGGCAGTACAAGGTCCTCCCCTTCGGGCTCTCTCTGTCTTCGCGGGTCTTCACCAAACTCGCGGAGGGTGCCCTAGCGCCCCTGCGGCTCGCGGGCATCCGCGTACTCAATTATCTCGACGACTGGCTGATTTTAGCCCACTCTCGGGAGCAATTGACTGCGCACAGAGATGAGGTGCTCCGGCATCTCCGCCTATTGGGGTTGCAGGTCAACTGGGAAAAGAGCAAACTCACCCCGGTGCAGAGGATCTCTTTTCTCGGAATGGAGCTGGACTCGGTCACCATGGTAGCGCACCTCTCCGGAGAGCGCGCTCGCCTGCTGCTGAACTGTCTGAGGGAGCTCGACAGCAAATTAGTGGTCCCACTGAAATATTTTCAGAGGCTCCTGGGGCATATGGCTTCCGCTGCGGCTGTCACGCCGCTCGGATTGCTCCATATGGGACCACTTCAGCACTGGCTTCAAGATCCAGTTTCAAGACGCGCATGGCATGCGGGCACACACCGAGTCTCTGTTACTACGCTGTCGCCACACCCTCAGCCCCTGGAACGACCCCTCGTTCCTGCAGGCCGGTGTGCCTCTGGGACAGGCGTCCAGTCATATTGTTGTCTCAACAGATGCTTCCAGCACAGGCTGGGGAGCCGTGTGTCGCGGGCATGCAGCTGCGGGCCTGTGGGTAGGTGCCCAGCTGCGTTGGCATATCAATCGCCTAGAGCTGTTAGCAGTGTTCCTTGCTCTCCGCCGTTTTTCTCCGGTGCTGGAGCAGCAACACGTGCTCTTCAGGACGGACAATACGGCGACAGCATCGTATATCAACCGCTTGGGGGGTTATGCACTCTCGCCGCATGTCTCAGCTCGCCCGCCGTCTGCTCCTCTGGAGTCACCCGCGGCTGTAGTCGCTGCGCGCCATTCACATCCCAGGTATGCTCAACCGTGCAGCCGATGTGCTCTCACGGCAGCAGATTCACTCTGGAGAATGGAGACTCTGGAGAGTCTGTCCAGCTGATATGGGCGCGGTTCGGGGAGACCCAGATCGATCTGTTGCTTCCCCCGAGTACGCTCATTGCCAGTTGTTTTATTTCCTGACCGGGGGCTCTCTCGGCACGGATGCACTGGCCCACAGCTGGTCTCGGGGCATACGCAAGTATGCGTTTCCCCCAGTGAGCCTGATCGCGCAGTTACTGTGCAGGGTCAGGGAGAACGAGGAGCAGGTTCTGCTAGTTGCGCCCCTCTGGCCCAACCGGACCTGGATATCAGAGCTCTCCCTCCTCGCGACGGCCCTCCCATGGCAGATCCCTTTGAGAGTGGACCTACTTTCTCAGGGACAAGGCACCATCTGGCACCCTCACCCCGATCTTTGGAACCTCCACGTGTGGTCCATAGACGCGAGGAAGACTTAGGTAACCTGCCGCCCGCAGTAGTTGATACCATCACTCAGGCTAGAGCCCCCTCCACGAGGCGTGCCTACGCCCTGAAGTGGAGTCTATTCACTGAATGGTGTGTCTCTCGCAGAGAAGACCCCCGATCTTGCCAGATCAGTGTTGTGCCCTCTTTCCTTCAAGAGAAGCTGAACAGTAGGCTGTCGCCCTCCACTCTCAAGGTTTACGTTGCCGCCATCTCCGCTTGCCATGACGCGGTGGCTGGCGGCACCGTGGGAAAGCATAACCTCATCATCCGGTTCATCAGAGGTGCTAGGCGAATTAATCCAACTCGCCCCCCTCTCATGCCCTCTTGGGATCTCGCCCTCGTTCTCACGAGCCTGCGATTTGATCCCTTTGAGCCACTCGATACAGTATCTTTAAGATTTCTGTCCCTGAAGACAGCTCTGCTGGTCGCATTGGCCTCCATTAAGAGGGTCGGGGACCTGGAGGCATTTTCGGTCAGTGACTCGTGCCTGGAATTCGGGCCGGATTTTTCTCACGTTATCCTGAGACCCCACCCGGGTTATGTGCCCAAAGTTCCTACCACTCCCTTTAGAGATCAGGTAGTAACCCTGCAAGCGCTGCCCCCGGAGGAGGCAGACCCAGCCCTTTCCTTACTTTGTCCAGTTCGCGTCCTGCTCATTTATGTGGACCGTACTCAGTACTTTAGATCTTCTGAGCAGCTCTTTGTTATGGCGGACGGCAGCAGGGAAGTGCCGTGTCTAAACAATGCTTATCCCACTAGATTGTGGAGGCCATTTCATATGCATATTTGAGCAGAGGTCAGCCGCGCCCCCCGGGAGTGCGTGCGCACTCCACTCGGAGCGTTGTATCCTCTTGGGCGTGTGCGCGCAGCGCTTCTTTAACAGACATTTGTAGAACATTTGGCCGACACCCAACACATTTTTATAATCTGCGAGTGGAGCCGGTTTCCTCAAGGGTGTTAGGGACCTTTGGTGATTGAGGAAACAACTCGGTGGGTGTTGTAGCACGCTTGCGGTGCCTTTTTTCCCTAACACGGAGAGATGTGCACCCTCCTGTCTGTCAGTAAAGTTCCCCATTCGGTGAGCCCTGCAGATTCCTCCGAGGCCCCCAGCACTGACTCAGCGGAGGAGTCACTCGCTGGCCCACTACGTTAGGTCTGCCCGCTGGTCAGCCCCGCGTTTTTGGGTACAGGTGCCTGCTATGGCCGATCCCCGCTGGTGATCCCCATATGCTTTACCGCCACGGTTAAGTTCCCCCCCCGGGTGGACCCGTGCTTTCCTTATCCGCTAACCACCTTCTTATGCGCACTCCCCCTTCTCAGGGTTAGTCCATATGTATTTCCATTTGTTTCCCTATTGGGTGCGGATGGTCTCCGCAGCGTCCTCCCTACTGGGATGGCACGCTTCCCAACGTACTGTCGTATATTCCTAGAATTATCTAGACGCTAGCGACTCCCAAAAAATATACCTATTCCGTAAAGCTTCTTTTGAAGTGGGGATAAGTTAGGGCCAAGGGCACGTTGGAGGACCGCGTTGGGTGCATCACGCTTGCCTGACTGCCCTCCCATGGTGGGTGTTGGTAAGGTGCAGTCATTATGGCGCTTTCAATGGGCTCCCATACGTGGATTTAGAACATCAAATCCACTTATAGTGTTGAAGTTCCCCCCGAAGGGGAACGTTCGAGGTTACTAAAGTAACCCGGAAGCACTATACTCCGTCGCCATAATGACTGTCCCTTAGCTGTTAAAAGTCTCTTCAGCTTAAAAAGGATAGCATTTGCTAGCGCCAGGTGTGCTTATATGCTCAGTTAATTGGCGATGCAGCACACCTGCGCAAGCTTGCGCTGCCAATTCATTGCTTTCATTGGCCCGTTCAATACTCTTTCAGACGAGCGGCTTCTGAACCGAATCCTCCCATACGTGGATTTAGAACATCAAATCCACTTATAGTGCTTCCGTTCCCCTCCTCGGGGAATGAAAGGTTACTTTAGTAACCTCGAACGTTTCATTTCCAAGCAGGGTTGCTACATGCAAGGAAACTGTAGTGCACAAGTATTTGAAACACTCGGCTCTCAAAAACAGCTCTCAGTGAGTAAGAATAGCCTGTGTCTCACAGTGTGTATGATCAAGCTCTCATTTGGTATTCATCTGCTATCTTTTGTTTTGCATAAACACAGTTGTTTTTGTCAATCATGCTGCTTCTCGATTCTAAAATCTCATTTGCTGTTCCACTCATTACTGTGTATACAACTAACTTTGAAAATTTTTTTTATTTTTTTTTAAATCGCATTTGCATGCATATTGACAAACGGTCAAAAACTAAAATTATAATCTTCAGTAATAAGCCAGCACTGACCTGGTCAGGACACTGACAATCATGTCTACCGTCCCAATAACTGGACATCCTTATTGCTGAACCCTGCTTTTAAGAAAACTACAATTAAAAAAATATTTTCAACCAGCCAAAGTGGCTAGTGGGAATGGCTGTCTTTACCCGCCACAGCTGAAATCTACCTGCATTTGGTGGTTTGGTAAGTATTAATGTCAAGCCCTAATCACAACTATAATCACTATGTAATACTATGTAATATTATATGAAGGCAGAAAGTGAAAAACGCTTGATTCAAATGGTCCAAAATAGTTGTCATTACTTCACTTTGCAATTTCTAGTATTGCCTTCTTTTCACCGTCATTTAATAATTTTGCAACTTTTCAGTCCAAGTTATATTTTTATCAGTAAAACACCTTAATTTAAAGCATTTTTCACTTTGAGTGTATTCAGAAAATTATAAATCAATAATGAATGATAAATACAAAAGTAGCAGTGGTTCAATGTATCTGAATATTAACTTGCATCATTATTTTGCATAATATGTAGTTTGTGTATTTGAATCATGCACATAAACAACCGAAATTTAATATGTGTCATTCAACATTATGGGGCTCTAGGTTCTTGCAGCTTTAAAAAAAAATTACCTGATAGTGGAGTTCATTCACGAAGGGAGTACCGGACCTGTCGCAAAGTCTTGGTACTCAGAGGGTCACTCGTGGTGGCCTCCATACAAGGAGATTGAAGAGTGTCCGGTTGATGGAGGCACCACAACCAGATAAAGGTTGGACCAAGCATCAGGCCAGAATTCTACGAGTCAGGTACACAGAAGTTAATTGTAAATAAACAATATTAAACAATGGATGAATTCAATAATACATGACATTCCATAGACTATTACATTCATGAATTGTTACATACTCTATTTCTTTCAGCATCTTTTGACAAGATTTCAAAGAAATGGAAACAGGCATGCTACACATCTGACATCTCGGAATCTGAAATGCCTGCAAAAAGAATTCCCAAGTAAGTTGTCAAAACACACATTTTACTTTTAACAAAAATATTCAGTCTTCTGAAGCTAAACAAAGTTCATGTGAGTAACAAAAGTAAATATATTTAATTATAATATTAAATTCAGCCGTAGTTTTTACATCTCAATCACACTTATCAGGTAAATCGGGTATGTTTAGTTTTAAATGTATCATCAACTGTTTGTTTGTATTTTTGCAACATGAAAAAATACACAATTATGCCAGATTTAAACAAGCAAAGGTTTCGTTATTTTTACTATTATATTTTGGCCATTTCCTAACTTTCTTAAGAATGATGGAAAAAAACTTTTACTAGAAAAATTATATTGAACTTATTTTTAAGTTTGTTTGTGTTTTCTTCTTCTTACATTTAAAAAAAACAAGACATTGTTATAATCCAATCATGCTTTGTAAAATTAACTACCCTGATTGTGATCATAGAAAGAAAATATACACATCAGATGATGAGCCTTGCGATACTTCCTACAAAAAAAAAGAAACTAAATAAAGAAAAAAGTCTACCAACACCAAGGGTCCCACCTGCACCAAAAGCTCCAACACCCCGAAAACATATCAGGGCAAAAGGTAAAAATACACCACTTGTATTACTGCCAGACAAAAGTGTATGTATGATCACTGAGCAGTTTTTTTCTTTTTCAGGTCCTTTTGTACGACCTTAGCTAACATCATGTAAATGCTGTAAATGTAAATGTAATTGTAAGTTTTAATTAGTAAAACAGATATTTGATGTTTTAAGTACATTGTGATATGCTCAAAAATGTTCCTTAATAACAGTAAATTAAATGTAATGCACAAGCTCTTGTGACATGTGCTTTACCATAATGTTTTCAGCTGAATCCAGTAATATTGTTATTTTAACATTTTGCAAAAAAAACTACTGTTATTACATTCATAAATTGAGTATTACATTTTAAGAGGCACACATAACTTTTAATTGCTAATTAGAAGCAACAGCACTCTCAAGCTATAAAGATCTGTGCAGTACAATGTAATTTTTGTTTGTTAGACAGATATAACATCTGTTTCATCTGTAATGTTTCAACAGCATTTGTCCGTGACCACCAAAAAGCTACAGAAAAGCAACAGCAGGCCTGTTTTGAAATTCCCTCCACTAGTCAAGGTAACTCGCTTTACATGAATACTGTAACAACAAACTGTAAAAGCTTCACAGCATTCATGACTCAAAAGCTGACTCAATTACAGGCTCGTTCATGATTCCGATTGCTGAATAGACATCACTCACCTACAGTTTGTGCACAAATATAAATAAATGTAATATTCTGAACCTATTTTTAATAGAAGTACATTGTACCTCTTCCAAATCAATCTATATATATATATATATATATATATATATATATATATATATATATATATATATATATATATATATTTAGTTTAAGTAAAAGTCACTTAAATAATATATACAGTTATATATTATACATATTATACAGAATTACTAGCCCCCCAGTTTATTTTTTCCCCAATTTTTGTTTACAGAGAGCAGATTTTTTAAAACATATTTCTAATCATAATAGTTTTAATAACTCATTTCTGATAACTGATTTATTTTATCTTTACCATGATGGCAGTAAATAATATTTGACTAGATATTTTTTCAAGACACTTCTATACAGCTTAAAGTGACATTTAAAGGCTCAACTATGTTAATTAGTTTAACTAGGCAGATTAGGTTAATTAGGCAAGTTATTGTATAATGATGGTTTATTCTGTAGACTATCAGAAAAAAATAAAGCTTAAAGGGGCTAATTATTTTTTACTTTAAAATGGGTTTAAATAATTAAAAACTGATTTTATTCTAGCTGAAATAAAACAAATGAGACTTTCTCTAGAGGAAAAATATTATCAGACATACTGTGAAAATTTCCTTGTTAAAGGATTGTTTCCTTGTTTCCTTCCTCCTCTGTTCAACATCATTTGGAAAATATTTAAAAACAAGAAAAACTAATTCAAAGGGGGGATAATATGTCTGACTTCAACTGTATATTATATGGCTAGGAGAAAGTCTAACACAAGCTAACTTTTAAATTGAGTCCACTGGACAAGAAATGCTCATAGGGGAAACTAACATTTAAACATAATGGGTCACAATAAACTGGCCGAGAAGAAAATAATTTTATAAAATAGGATTTCAGTAATTAAGGTGAATAGTTTAGGAAACCCAGTTTGCCAGAGCCAAAACAAATACAATGTGTCAGATTCTGTGTCAAAGAATGACACAATTTGACTCAATGTATCAATTGTACCCACTTAAGAATCACACGCAGAAATGTTGTAAAATGCCCTGAGACTTTTATAGGCATAGGTTGAAAGCACCACTCCCTTTGTATCTGTTTAAAGAATTTATCTTCCAGAAGTTTTCAGTGCTCACTTCAAAATCAATTTCCTTTACTGAAAGATTCATCCGCTTCATCATTGAAAGAGTTAGGTTTGAAAGCATCAGGAACCCTTTAGTCACTGGCAAGTACAATGTGTCAGCTTCTGTGTCAAAGAATGACACAATGGGATACAATGTCTCAAAATGTATCCACTCAAAAATAACCACAAGCTGAAATACACTGAGAACTTCATAGGCATAAGATGAGAACTGGTCTAGAAGGACAGGACCACTTCTTCTTGTAAATGTTAAAAGATATTATCTTTCAGAATCTTGTAAATCCTTCTCCTATCCTTAAATTTTCATTGTTACTAGCAGGTAAAACTATGACTCCCTTATCACTGTCAGTATAACCAGATATCGACTTCCATAATAATTGTGCACAAATTGTATGTTTCATGATCTGCTTATTCTGCCAAAAGATGAAAGCCTCTTTAAAGACTGAATCTTCTCTGAACCAGGTATTACAATTGAAAATGTCAAATAACATTTCATAATTGCAAAGAAAATAATTGCATTTTCAGCTCCAGATGTACCTGTGAGGTTCTGCCAGGAAGTGGAGCACCAAGACACTTGGGATAAACCCCAACCTGAAAATTAAGGTAAAAAACAAAATAAATAACAGATTCATTGGTATTTGAAATAAGAACCCAGAAGGAAAATTGCTGCACATACCCACACTAGGTAACTCAACATTTTCTGTACAATCCAACAGAGGACACATTTTCTGTGCTGCGGCCTTTACAAGACAGAGCACCACGTAAGTTGTATGTCTCACTTCGGGTAATTACAGTAACATTTAATTTAGCTGTATTGTAAAAAAGAAAATGATTAAACAAGACTGTAAAGCTAAGACTAAAATACAAAAAAAGAGAACACAATTCATTTACAACAGTAAAAAAAGAGTACCATTTTGTCAAATGTCAAGAAAGCTCAATAAAGACAGAGCTTCTCATATGCAGATCACCAATGCGATACCTGCCCATATTGAAATCTGTTGCATTTAAATTTACGCAAATTACATATATGCCATGCAAGTTCCTATTTGGATTTTACAAATACAATATATTTTATTTATGCAATATACATTTTGAAATATTGTAAAAATGGCTGTGCTGCTTACAAATATTGTTTTTCAACTATTGGAATTATATGTACAGATATGTTCACACACACGCAAGCACACACACACACACACACACACACACACACTCTGCTCAGCACATATGAGTACACCACCTTTTGAATCGGAATATTGTCATCTATTTTTCAGTGAACAGAGATAATATTTTTGTTCATTTAAATAAAAGATGTTTATTAAACAGTTATGTGCACTAAAATACAAGTTTGGCCACATAACATCTTTAGGAATAAAAAAAACAAAACATTTAAATTCAAATTGGTATTTGCACAAAAAAGTAAACTACATTTTTTTAAATTTATAATAATAATAATAAATGTAATATTATTTTAAGTTTCTCTTGATTTTTTCCTGTATTTTAGAAGTTTTTTGTATATATATATATATATATATATATATATATATATATATATATATATATATATATATATGTGGCCGGGATACTGCTCTTCCTAATTAAATAAATCAAGCATCCTCAGTCATCTATAAACAAAGGGTTATTTATTAGTGACCACGTTTAAATAGAAAAATGTGGCATTAAAGTTGCATTTTCCAACAGTGGAACTCACTCTGTTGAATGTTGAACCGCACTCTGAATGATCCACAAAGCCTCCGATCACGTGCGCACTCGCGTGTACTCGCTCTCCCCTCTGATATAATTAGGCCTAAAAATAAAGAGAGGTACAATAAACGATCACCTCACGTTTACTCAAATAATACACTCACATACGATCATTAACCAGTAAAAGAACAGCATCAATAACTACTCACACTCAATCTTTGTTGCTGGAGATTACACAGTCTCACCACGTGAATATTTCTGCACCCGAAAGCATGCAAAATCCCACCGATCACCAGTCAAACATGAAGAGAAATAGCTGCTCTCAAAACTGCAGCGAGGACTTCCTCTTTTTCCTCTAAATAAAACTGTTACAGTACCTATCTTGCAGGCCCAAAAGACAACAGATTACCGTAGCTAAACTCTCAGGAGGGCACACTTCTTTCACAACGACTCTGTATGAACGCACCAATAAGCCTCTAGTGGCAGGGAGGCATCATTACCAGCTATTTTTCACTTGGCCTCACTCTCCCCTGCCCCAAGTCAATGTCTTAGGGGACTTCTTACTAAGTATCTACAGCACCTTTCAGTTTTTCAGATGTGTACATCACTATGCCTGCTAAAACCTGAGACAGAATGTCAGGGCTAAACAATACTGCATTGCAAGCTGACTTAGGCAAATTGTAAGGATTATTATGTTGATCGGCAGTTGATCTTTGAGAACGTCGCGGCACTGGTGGAGGTACTTTCTGCTCCACTTAAGGAAGTGAACGAGTCCTAGGAGCAGGAGCTGGATATTCACTAGTTGTCATTGGACTGGGATTCGGAGGTAGGATATCAACACCACAATTCTCAGACACAAGGATTTCCTCATTTTCAAGTTCATTCAACCTTGATTCCTCTAAATCTTCCACCTGTGAACTACGCTCCTCAATGTATTTCATTAACATTGCTGACGGTTCTTCCAAGGCTGGCCATGTCTCTTCCACCACTACGCACTCAACATCTGGTGGCAACTGAATCTCCACATCACGTTGACCCACCCTTTTCTTCATTGGAGGTACCTTGCTACGTGGCTTTGGTACTGGAATCTGTGATGGACAAGGTCGCAGGTGAGACCGATGTATCCTCTTTTGCTCTCCCCCTCCCTCAGGTTCTACTACGTGCGTAGTTCCTTGAACATCTCTCAAGATATAAACATCCGGTGCCCATGCATCCTGGATTTTATGTCTTCCCATAGGGCGGTGTCTTAAGTACACCTTTTGTCCAACTTCGACTTCAGGGCAATAGACATCGCTCTCATGTCTAGCAGCTCGTTCTTCCGCTCTCTTCTTTGCGTACTCCTTTGCTCTCAGATGGGCTTCTTGGAGTCGTTCTCTGTGTATTGACAACCAACTTGATTGTGTGCCTTCGTCAGGCTCCCGCCCCAACAACGCATCAATCGGAAGGTGTGGTTGTGTCCCGAACAGCATATAAAATGGGGAGTATCCTGTTGAAGAGTGTGGTGTTACATTGTAAACATATACCAGCTCTGACAGATGCTCAGGCCATCTCCTTTTCTTCTCAGGTGGCAACGAGCGTAACAAGTCATGCAAGGTGCGATTAAATCGCTCACACTGGGGATTTCCTTGCAGATGATATGGGGTGGTCCTTGATTTCCGAACCCCATACAATTTGCAAAGTTCACCTATAACTGCACTCTCAAAGTTTCTCCCCTGGTCAGAGTGTAGTCTCTCTGGAACCCCATATTTAAGAAACCACTCTTTTAGAAGAACTTTGGCTGTGGTATCAGCTTTTTGGTCCCTGGATGGGAATGCTTGGCTGAATTTAGTAAAGACATCGGTGATCACTAGAACGTTTTCCCGACCATCAGAAGCTGGCTCGAGTGTAGTAAAATCAACAGCCACCACTTCCAATGGTCTAGAAGCCAAGAAAGGTGTCCAAGATGGTCGAATTTTAGGCTGTGGCATTCTAGCAAGCACACACCGTTGACAGTTCTTCACCCATGTCTTTACGGCTTCATACATTCCTGCCCAGTAGCACCTTGGTTGAAGTAAACTCAGCGTTCTTTCAATCCCTTGGTGCCCCATTTGCTCGTGAACGTTTTGCAGCACTGCTTCAATTAAGCAAGAAGGAAGTACCAGTTGTTGACACTCTCCCAGAAAAGCATCGTCAACCACTCGATACAACAGTCCTCTATCTTCCTTGAATTTATCCCATTGCTTGAGTAATGATCTCACTTGCCGGGGTAGCCCTCGTCTCTCTTGGGAGGAAGGTTTCTTTTGACTACGCCAAAACTGTTTAACAAGTTTTAGGAAGGGGTCGGCATCCTGAAATTGACAGAGTTGTTCCCTAGAATACCCCAGAAATGTTGGGGTGTTTCCAAAGTCAGAATTTGGCCAAACTTCCTCTTCCAGAGGCCTTCCCAAGACTGGTCCAGCTGTGCCAAGGTCTGGTTCTACAGTGGTACCACAATGTACCCCATTGCAGATGGCCACACAGTGATCAAATTCGGCATCTTCAGATGGCTCCTCCTCTTCCTCCAACCCTGCTCTCCTGGACAAAGCATCCGCTGCTGTATTACACCGTCCTGGTCGTTAGCGAACTTCAAAATTGAACACAGCCAACTTGGCTGCCCATCTCTGTTCCACCGCCCCCAACCTAGCCGTGTTGAGGTGGCATAATGGGTTGTTGTCTGTAAGCACCATGAACCAGGAACCCAGCAGATAGCCCCTAAATTTCTTCACTACAGCCCACTTTAAAGCTAAAAGCTCCAACTTCAGACTACTGTAATTATGATCATTGCGTTCAGCACCTCTCAGCCTCCTACTAGCGTAAGCTATTACCTTCTTCTTCCCACCCTGATACTGGTATAAGACAGCACCCAAACCCCAGCTACTTGCATCTGTCTCTAATACGAATGGAAGTGAAAAGTCGGCATATCCTAGCACCGGAGCACAGGTCAACTCTGTATTAAGACGTTCAAATGCTTTTTGGCATTCTGACGTCCAAGCAGCCTGAAAGGACTGATCACTCTGAACCCCACTTCCCTTTTTGGTGAATTCATTCACGACATCATGCAGAGGCCCGGCCACCTTAGCAAAACCTGCGATAAATCGCCGATAGTAACTACAAAACCCCAAAAAGGACCGCAGTTCCTTTGCTGTCTTTGGCACTGGCCACTTCTCTACTGCACTGACCTTGTCAGGATCAGGACCAACACCATGAGCTGATATTTGGTGTCCAAGAAACCTCACCTCTGTTTGTAAGAAATGGCATTTTTCCACTTTTATTTTTAATCCAGACTCCCTCAGGCGGCGTAGTACCACTTCTAGATTAACCAGGTGAGTTTTGAACGTGCTTGAATAGACCAACAAGTCATCCAGATAAACGAGAACTATTTGGAACAACAAATCACCCATTACAGCCTGCATAAGTCTCTGGAACGTTGCTGGTGCATTACAGAGGCCAAAGGGCATCCGTGATTACTCGAATAAACCAAATGGTGTGACAAAGGCGGTCTTATGTTGGTCCTTTTCATGAACGGCCACCTGATGATAGCCACTTGCCAAGTCAATGGTAGAAAACACTTGAGCCTTGCACAATGCATCCAGGCTTTCATCAATTCTTGGCAAGGGAAATGCATCGCGCCGGGTCTTAAGATTCAGCTTACGGTAGTCTACACATAGCCGTAGGCTTCCATCAGCCTTCCTCACTAAGACTACTGGTGACGCATAAGAGCTGGAACTTTCCCGAATGACTCCTTTCCTGAGCAGTCCAGAAATGTGCTCCTTAACTTGGTGGAATACGTCGGTAGGGCTGGAAGACGGGCACATCATCAGTTACCGGGAGATCTTCGTCACCTACTGCAAACACATCAGCATACTGGTTCAAAAATGCTTGCAATTCAGCCTGTTGCTCTGGAGTTCCCCCCATTCGCACCTTATCTAAAGGACCCTGTGAGTTTCCATGTGTCTGTCATTGACCTCAAGCTAACTGTTACTTCCTCATGGTCTTGAGAAATACGTTGAAAAGCAACACTGCAGGGATCACTTTCCACCTGATAGCCTTGGGATAAAACCCCCAACCTCGCCTTTGGCGGCAGCCACAGGTCCTCAGACCCCAGATTTAAGACCTGTACAGGAAACACTCGCTTAGCAGGCACTATCATAGGCAAGAGAACTAAAACCCCCGGCAATGACATCTTCCCCGGTTCAAATATGACCACCCCATTAGCCTTAGGCAACTCTTTATGTACTCGAACTTGTACTGTTGTAACAGAGCCTGCAGGTACATGCGTTTCTAACTTTCCAGCTATTCGAACCGTGGATTTCAACCCTTCAGATGTCGCTTCCTGAACTTTACTCAATGCATACCGCCAATCTGAGTTTAATGCTCCGTTTAGCGCATTATCAAATTCAACTAAGATTAGCTGTCTGCATCGCTGTGCAATATTCATTCCAAGAATACCTGGAGGTGAAAGATCAGATTCTTCCTCCAGGTGGTCTCGGACAATCAAAAATCCATAGCCCGGTATGGTTACACCCATCACCTGGATATCCAACTCTACATATCCTAAATATGGCAAAGGCAATTTATTAGCTGCGGTAATGCGTAACACTTGGAGGTGCTGTGCATATCTCTATCCTCGCCATGCAAGTGTTCCCTGAAAAAAACTTTCAGCGAGTGTACTGACATTACTACCCGTGTCTAAAAGACACCTGACAGGTATTTCCCTTATAGTAATTTCCACTTCAGGGCATGGACCCAGTGCCCGCTCTAAGAATCGTTCTTTGGTCAGAGTATCACTGACTGAGCCATGAGCTACCCCTCTCATTGCTCGGCTCCGCGCAATGGAGGGTTGTCGTTTCCCGTCACGTGTGTTTCTGCAGGAATCGCTACCTAGCCTACCGACTTGCGTGGTGCTGTGCATTGGCGGGCTAAATGTCCTTCTCCCTCACACTTTAAACAAATAGGCTGACCATCTTTAGTGTATCTGGGCTTATCTCTATCTCTCTGGGGCCTGTCAAAGCCAACAGTGGCTCTTTGGGTGGTAAGACCACGAATATATATAATAAAAAAATCTTATTAAATTTAATTATTAAAACCAAAAAATATTAATTATTTATATAAAATTGACATATCTATACATATTTGTCATTCTAATTGTTTAACAATAAGTGGTCAACGACAAATATTGTATGTGAAGTCTAAATATGAACTTTCTGTATTTCTAAATCTGTATTTAATCAAAGAAACATGATGGAACCTTGGGTAAATAATCAGTGTGAAGTCCTTAAAAGTTTTAGTAGTAAACAAGTTCATAGATGTTCAATATGACCCCCTCTTCTTTGTAGAGTTCTTGATTTTAAAAGTTGTGGTATTCTTTTTGAGTCACCCTGTATATTTACATGCATCAGATTTCTATATGGGTGACCTGATCATCATGATTAAATAAAACAATAATAAAGTATACAGAGGAAATCCTAAACACATTTATTGTAATTTTTGCAACCTTTTTATACTTTTGTTTGTTTGTTTTTTTATTATTTAGACAACATACTCTGTCCAAGATCCAAAGCCATCAGCAGATCAAAGAAAAATGCAGAGTAAGTGTAAAAAATAAATAAACTATATACATTTTATGTAGTGTCATAGTAGCAAATGCAACTTACCAACTTGACCTTTCTCAGCACCAGTTTTTCCAATAAGCATGTCCCATGTAAATGAGCAAGAAAATGCTTGGGGGGACCACCCATCGAGCTATCGAGGTGCAACAACATTCAATAAAAAATACACAGCAAATTAGTTTTTAATTATTAACATGGTAATGTTACATTGTCTGTACAATCACACAGAAGACACAACTTCTGAGCTGAGACCCTCAAGTACCCAGGCAAGAGCGAAGAGTAAGTAATTTGTTTTTTTTTTAATTGACAGTTACTTCTTATGAATTATCATTATTATTATTATGTTTTTTATACAGTATTCGTAGTTGTATTTATATACTGCTAACCAACATCTATTAATGTAGTTAAATCTTAACAAATGAATTAAATTTCTTACAAATTAATTAACAATTTGCTAATGCTAAATGCTTGATTCAGTGTGAGTCAAACTTTCTTCCTTCTTGCCGAACACAAATAAAGATATTTTGAAGAAAGTTGGAAACCAGTAACCATTGACTTCCATAGCATTTGTTTTTTCTACTATAGAATTCAATGGTCACCGGCTTTCAGCTTTCTTCACAATACCTTCCTTGTGTTTAGCAGAAGAAAAAAAACTTCAAATGTTTATAACCACTTAATGGTCTGTAAAACGTAAGTAAATTTACATCCCTTTAATTTATTTGTAAACATATTAATCAACACTGAATATGAAACTTGTTCAAAGCAACTAATCAATGACATTTTCCAATTTTCTGTGAAAATTTTACATGGTTAATAAGCTGTTCGCAAAACATCAAATTATTTCCTTGTAACCTAATAAATCAATAACACTTTAGTTAATTATAGTGACAGTAAAAAAACTCACTGTATTCAGAATATTAATGTATTAGAGTACAATATATAATTTATCATTACCTATAAATTAATAGTTTGAAAATTATTTTGAAGTGTTTTGTTCATTTATGCTTTCAATAACTTTGGGGAACTAACAATTTTGTATGCACAGAAAAATTAATATAAAAACTATTATACGTAAAAGCACAGACCAAGAGGGGGTTGGCTTCTGTCTGATTTTTTAAATTCAGTTTTATTTCCCCTTAATTAGGTTTTGCAATTTTGCTTTTGAATTCTGTGAATAGTTTAAGTCATTTTAATCATAGAAAAACAATGAGTATTCAGAAGGATATATATTTTTTTATTGTTTAAGGTTTCAAGCATATTATTATAATATCCTCATAACATTTTTGTGAATCGTTTAAAAATGATTTTGCTTGCAGATGCTTCTGGTATCAGCTGATGGAGCTGCATCTCCAGTCAATACACACGTGAGTGAAATTTAAGTGCTAAAAAATAATAATAATAATTTAAAAATATTTACATATAGTTGAATAGAGATTAACCCACTTACTGTGTTGCAGCTGTGGAGAGGGTAATTTTGGAGAAGCTTAATGAGCTGGACGTGAAGATTACCCATCTAACTTCAGTGGTCCAGTCCCTTGCCCCTCGGTAAAGTGGTCAAATGGAGGTGGACACTGAGGATGACACCTTTCCTATTGAAACAATGGAGGACCTTGAACAACTGAAAAGGCAATTAGCTGAAAAACCAATGATGGAGAAGATGGTACGAATATTTAAGATTTAAAGGTTTTACAGCTGTTGTTAAGTAAATCTTTATTATATGGCCAGTTTCACAGACAACACTTAAGGCTAGTCCCAAACTAAAAATGTATGTGTGAGCTGTGTGATGCCTTACAATATCTCATTGCCATTATTTTGTTACCAGATCCAGGCTAGTATCGTGCTTATATTTTCTTTCACATGCATTTTTATAAAAGAAGTTTTATATCTAACATTAACCAAGACTTAAGCTCATCCTTGTCTGTAAAACTGGGCCATAGTCCTTGCACTTTATCTGTAAAGATTTAATATTACCTTTTATTTTTAAGATGAAGAGGTTATCCATCAGAGGAGGACAAACTCTAAAAAAAAACATTTGGCGTGTATGCTCCAAAGTGTTTGGTCCAGTGGCCAAACAGCTCAACTGGTGTGGAAGAGGAGATAAAAGAGGCCTAAAAAACACAAATATTGGGACACTTGTGATAGGTATGTTCAATTGTCTTGCAATTTAGACAATCCCTTTAAAGACAGAACTGCCAGTATATCTCTATAGCATGATTACCTTGTACACACATAATATAGTTATCAGTGTGCTATAAGCTTACGAGCTAGCATATGCTGTTCGTATATTGTACTATGATATTTAATACACAAGAGTGTTTTAGAAATAAAATTTAGATCATTATTTTAAGTGGAGAATTGTTCATTCTTGTATATTAGGGTGAGGAGATTAAACCTTAAATCAAAACCTTGATTGATTGAACACTTTACCTACTTTTGAAATATTGAATCATTATATATATTTTTTTCCAAGTATTTTTTGCTACTTAATCAAGTTCCATTTATTCATTTACTAAACATTTTAGTTTTAGTGTTAAAAGAAAGTTTCCTTAAAGAAATATTTCCATGTCAAAAGTGGAAAATGACTCGTATCTTTAACAAGCATAACTTGTGTCTGGAAAATAGTAAATAATAAAGCAATGTGAAAAAGTACATAATGTGAACATTGCTGTTCACAATAATATTTTAAGTGCGTATGTGTGCATGCTTTTCTTTACGAAAAGACAGCTTACATTGTTTGTTCATTCATTCATTTTCTTTTTGGCTCAGTCCCTTTATTATTCTGGGGTCGCCACAGCTGAATGAACCGCCAACTTATCCAGCATTCGTTTTACGCAGTGGATGCCATTCCAGTTGCAACCCATCACTGGGATACACACACACACACACACACACACACACACACACACACACACACACACACACACACTCATACACTATGGACCATTTTTTTAACTTACCCAATTCACCTATTGACCTTATTCTTCGCAAACGAGTGGGTGCTGCCATTTGAATCTTTTTGGCACGAGACTTCCGGTCTCATTCACTTCCATTCATTTTTATACATTAAAAACTGCTCGTTTCGCTGTTTGATGTTGCAAACTGATATTTCCTTGTTATATTATTCTACTTGGTCTGTATAGTCATGCAAACATTTGTTTGTAGAGCAAGTAGTTTGACCGTTTTTTGCCGTTTATAATTCCTTGTCATTTCTTCCATAGGCGACTGAAACGGAAGTTCTAAGACAATCGCAAAAACAGGCGCACTTGCGCATTTTAGAATAAGGTCAATACCTCGTCTTTGGACTTGTGGGGGAAATCGGAGCACCCGTAGAAAACCCAAGCGAACACGGGAAGAAAATGTAAACTCCACACAGAAATGCCATCTGACCCAGCCGAGGCTCGAACCAGCGACCTTCTTGCTGTGAGGCGATAGTGCTGATTACTGCACCTACGTTGTATGTGATAACTAGAAATCATAAAAAAAAAAATCTCAGTCGATTTGATTATTAATATAGGTTAAAGAAAAGTGAGTTATGCTTCACACATTATAGGTCATATAATAATGAAAAAGAAAATCTGTCATGCCTCTGAACATTAAAGGGTCACGAAACACCAAAACACATTTTTTAAGCTGTTTACAGTCGTATATGAGTCCCACACTGCTAAAAACACTATTAGGACACCTATATTTCACTAAAAAGTGTAAATTGGTTGTTTTTGCGTTATTTCAAGCAAATTCGTACTTCCTGTTTGAAACGAATTTTTGAAGCTGCGTCACGGTCATGACATAATAGCGTGTATTCCAGCGTGCAGACTGGGCGTCTGTGCCAGAGTGAGTCTTATTACGTCTTACAGTGTGATGCATTAATGCATGAGTAAGGCTTGGTTCAAACCAATTAGCACGCTCTATTGTGCAACTTCATTAATATTCATTAGTGTCACCGTGTTTACGCCACAGAGACGCCACGTTGTGTTGGCAAAACAAGCGTGAAGTGTTGCTTTTATAGTTTGCTGCCATTAAGTTTCGTTTTCATTTTCTCTTTGTGAGAGCTCAGCTGGATCACGTGTGGATTAACAGTGCACGCGACGCTCGACAACAATAACTTACGTGTCTAAGGAGGAACGTTGTTTACCTGAGAGCTGTTCTCATCTGCAAACGCTGAAATCCGGATTCGCTTGTAACGTTAGTCTCCTCTTCATAAAGACGCGGCTCTAGTTGCTGGTGATTGTCCTGTCTCTACAGATTTGGTAAGTGAGCGACCAGGGCTCTTTGTTTATTCAGTTTGTTCGTATTGAATTAAGTTAACTATTGCACTGAGTGCAAACATAGCACCGCATTTTGTGACCGGAATAACACACGCGGCTTTCTGACGCTACCTGCCGTGTGCATCTAAGTTTCTGGGAAATGCGGAGGGTTTTTTTTCTCTCATTCGCCGTGCGGTATCAAACATTGCATGAAAAATACACGCTTAGAGCAGATCCTCGAATCAAATATCGTGTTTGTCGCGAGGGGCATGAATGAATTCCCTGAATGAAAGAGCCAAACTGCAGTTAAAGTCCACCATTTAATAATTTGGCAAATAATTCGACTACAGATGTCAATGTAGGTTAAACACCATCACTTTCTCATGTGTGTGTATTTTGACTGAAACTCGCGCGTGCCCAAATAGACACTCCCACACCATCCCACTTTAGTTCCTCCGACACTCCCCCCTAAACAGAGCTGGACACGCCCACTTTTCGGACTTTTTCCAAAGTAGAGGTGTGAAAACACCCTGCTGAAACGAGGGGGTTTCATGGCCCTTTAATCATATTGCCTGCATTCGCTTGAGCTTTGCTGAAGTACATGTGGATGGTACATAACTTGAATTTAAATCGCCACGTGGGGATATATGTCGGTTATGGGTTTAGGTTTTGATTTTGATTAATCTCCCAGCACTACTGTATAATGCATATGTACACTTTTACAGTATTCATTATTTTGCAGTCAATTTGTCGTATGATATTAATCTAATAAATTTAAGGAACAGATTTTCCGAAATTTAAGTTAGCCCTAATCCACTTAAACTGCTGCTTGGTCAGTTGTCATCACAACGTGTTTAAACATAGCTTTATTCGTCTAAAAAAGTTATTACCTTGTTAAATTTACTACAAACAAAATGGAATAAGTATTTTACTGACCGCACATATCAATAACAATGAATCAGACTGCTTACCTCAGTATTCCCACGTGGACTGGTGTCTTCTATGTGCTGAGTGTGATGCTTTGGGGAAACATGCGCAATAGTGATGAAGTTTCGAACACAAAAGAGTCGATTCCTTGAATTTGACCACTTGTCCAAGTGCATACTAATGCAAGTACACTTGTGTTTGTTGTTGTTATTTTTTCTTTATTCATTTTATGGCGGATTTAAGCTTTTGCACCTCTCGTTTCTCTTTGACATCAAATCTTTAAAGCTATAGCTTAATTTATTTGAGAGTAACATTTTAAAGAATATTATATTGATTACATGAGGACGGTGCATGATCGAATAGCAATGAGTAAAAATATTTGCAATCTAAGCCGTATTTCAAAAACAAATGAACAGCAATCAAACAAAGGTAGGCTAAACTGATTTAAAAAATGGTGTTAACGATTATCAAAAATAGACTATATACAATTTAGCTAAACGAATTTCAAACAATCATAGTATTATTTCTTCCACTCTATTATTATTATTATTATTATTATTATTATTATTATGTAGTCAAATGCAATAATTAACATGGTGTGTATTAATTTTGGTCAGATAAAAAATAAAAGGCTCACAATAAATAAAACACCCCTTGAGCCTCCTTAAAACCGCCTTATTTTAATTTCTTTTTTTTTTCTTCTTTTTCAACAGGTGCAGCTATGAGGAACCCCGTGCTTCCGTCTCCAACAGAGGCAGAAGCCGAAAAATATTTGAAAGACTTTCTCCGCTTGGCCCCAGGAAGAATGGCCTCTTAAGCGAGTTGCTATTTTTTATTTATTTTTTTGCTGCAATTGGTTTTGTTTGCTTCAAAAAATATGAATTCTAATCAATTATAATATAATAAAATTCTACAAATGATTCTTCAGCCGTTGTGTTTTTCTTTTTGAGTGGATATACTTGAGCTTATCATATATGTGGAGACGGAGGTATAATCAAAGTACCTGTAACTGTTATTTATAGCAGTATGAATGAGGGAATGTCTAAATAAACAAATCAAAAAACGACGTCTATGCTACATAAATAAGATGTCTCACAGACCTAACATTCTAAAAATGAACATCTGTAATGCATCGCATAGACGTTGTTTGAATGTATGACAAGAACGTCTATGCAACGTTTTCCAGATGAGCAAACGCCCTGAATAAGACGTCTCCCAGATGAAAACACGGATGTCCAGCAGACGTCTCTGCGACGCATGTGTGCTATCTGGGATGAGAAGTGTCTAAAGTCAGAAGACAATCGCCTGTGATATCATTTCAGTTGGTTTTTGATTGTCAGGTTTCTGTAGGCCTAGTTATAATAATATTTATACAATATAGTTCTAATGATTTTTATACATGATCAAACTAGTGTTACTTTCTCCGCTTCAGTGATGTCCAGTAGGCAGAGTAACAGCACGTTAATTCATGCTCGTGCAGAGGATGAGACAGACATAAGTAATTCATTTCTGCCCTTCTTTTACTTATTTTCGTGTTGTCAGGTTTACAGTGCCAGCAGCTTCCGGTAGGAATAACTTGAGTGAACATAAAACAAAGCCGAATAAAACTTTCTTCCTCTGCTTGAGCTGCACAGCACACAGACAGCTCACATAATCCAGCATGCATGTCGAACTTCACTACCCACACTCCGCTATGGACTACAACTCCCCTAAATATTCTTATTTCCCCTCTCCTGAAACATTAGCGTGCAACTAAAGCAAAACTGATACTAAAATTTTTTACATTTGGTTTTGTAGTTCTGGCCTAAATAAATGTTTGTTGCCGTTTTTAATTGTTTTAAGTTAATTTGAATGACAATATATAAACCATTTGACATTATTAACGCATTTATTGGGTTAAATTGCTACTTTTTACTGTCATTCATTGTGTTTTTGGTCATTATCAATGAATTGTCACTTTAATTGAGCGTGAGCAGCGCGGCAAAAATACACCCAGCGCCAAAACTATCGCTGCACTGCTGCTTCAGCGACGCTCGCGCTGACACGCTGCTGCTGTGTACGGTATGAAAGCTCTTGGATGCCAAAAAAGCATGCGCTGCTCACGCTCTACTGACGCTTGCGGTGTGAAACAGGCATTAGGTGGCCTGATGGTGTCAAATTACATTTGAATGACTGAGTGGATGGCTCCAATTAGCCTCAAAATACAATGAAACACATGTACAAAGTAATTATGCAAATGAATAGTTACCCCTTTTGGTATAAATATCCGAGAACTATCTATTCATTTAAGAAGCAATGTTGAAATGTAAAGCTAAGTTCTACCTTGTCCCTTAGGATTGTTTTTATTTTATTTTTTTACTTGGCTCTGCATGACTTTTTCAAGAAATTATGTAAAATATACATTTTGTTGTATTGTTTTGTTTCAGGATGCTAATGGGGAAATAGACCAGCAAGACATTGGAGAACACACACTGAAAATTGTTACCAGAGGGGGTTCTCCACATGGGACATAGAGGCAGGAATAGTCTTAAAGCCTGGTTTATACTTCTGCGTCAAGTGACCGGCGTTACTCACGGCGCAGGCAATGTGCGCAGCTGTGCATTTAAGGCTGATTTATACTTCTGCATCAAACGCTGGCGTATGCTACGGCGCTGACAAATAGCCCTTCACCGTGGCCGTCGCCATCACTGACGTGCACCTCTCAAAAAATGTAACTACACGTCGCAACGACGCATAGCGTAAGCTCTGTGATTGGTCGGCTTGGTAGCGCTGACGAGTCTGGGCGGGACCGAGAGCCTCGCGAATGGTGCGAGCGATTGTTTACAAGTGTGGAGACCCGTGAAGGAGCTCCGTATGAAAAGTTTTGTTTTGTGTTTACCTCATAGTTAAAGTTGTTGCACGTCCCCCGGTTCCTGCCTCAAAATGAGCGAGTTTGAGCCCCTTGTACATCCCGGAAGTGTTCAGGAAAAGCAAAAAAGCCGCGAAGAAACTAGACACAGAGAAACATTAACACCTCACTGCCCACTAGCGTTTCAGAAGTGTTAATGCAGACCAACAGAGACAGCGCGCAGAAGTATAAATGCACAGCTACGCGCGTTGCATGGGCCGTGAGTTACACCGGTCACCTGACGCAGAAGTATAAATACTTCTGCGCGCTCTCTGTTGGTCTGCATTAACACTTCCAAAACGCTAGTTGGCAGTGAGATGTAAGTGTTCCTCTGTGTCGAGTTTCTTCGCTTCTGTTTTGCTTTTCCTGAACACTTCCTGGCCGTAGTTTGGACACGCCTGCTCGAGAGTAAAAAGCGACATTTTGTGTCTGCCGGTTTTGTTTACTTGCGGGAGTTTCATTGGCATTTTCCTGCACGTGAAATCTGACCAATCAATAAGTAGTTTAGGAAATATGTTTAACAACATCTGGCCAATAAGAGATGTGGATTTTGTCAGATGACTGCATATTGGTTTGTTTCAACTGGTTCGGACCAAAGCCAGTAGTGTGGTGTGAAAACGACCCAAAGACGGCAGAAAATGCAACAATGTATCATTTATTGCCCTTGGTCTGGACCAAATGAAGCGAACTACAGATGTGAAAGCACCCTTAGACACATTATGAAGAGTGCTTGACTAACCCATTATCTTAATGGTATGTCATGAACCTTTCTTTTAATGACTAATTTCCTCTGTATGTACTCTGTACATGTAGGTTTAATGCTGAAATATGTGACAAAAGAAGATGAAGTGTCCTGATCCAGCACTGCTCCAGAGACACCAGCAGCTGCACAGGTAAAACCACAGGTCACCACTGACTAAATCTCCAAAAGACTGACAAAAACATTGGTGCATTTTAGCTTTGACATGGGCATGAGGGTTATAAATTACTGAAAAACAGCTGTGGGTAAAGTATATTGATCGCAAGTGCTTAGACTGTGATCGCATCTTGGTTTTGTTCTGTTGACATGTAATTTCAAATATTCACAGCTTGAAACAGATGGAAATATGACTGCGATTAGTATGACTACTATGATGAAGGCTTAAACGGAGCAGTGCTCATAATATTGAGTGAAAAAAAAAAGATAAAGATAGCTGGGAAGCATAACCTGCTTTGTATTTTCGTAGGAAACACAGTTTAGATCTTTTTAGGGTAAGAGGTGTGTGAGTTATTGCTGTCGGTCTATCACTAAATGTGTCAGGAATATCAAAACAAAACCCACTTCACTCCTTTAGCGACCCTCACAGAGCTTGATCCAAGCTGCCATTTCTCCCCTTGGGTTTTAAGGTTTTTTAAAAAGAAAAAAAATTCCAAGACCCTGTCCAAACTTTAAGGTACCGGGTATTCGATTTGCACAATCCATGCATAAAGTTTTGGCTTGTTGCTTTCACTCGAAAGCTTGACAGAGCCCCTGCGCTTAGCTACTATTGCTAAGCCGAGAATGTAGGTTTTTTGGGTGTGGCTTAGTGAAGGGTCAATTAGCTTAACTCTTTTACAGGCCTGCCTAACTTGGTTAATTTGCTGTTCTATGAGGTCATTGGCTACGTACTGAATCATTCAACCATCATCATTATGAGTATAAGAGGGCAGTTCTTGAAGTAATTTGCATTTTGCATTCACTGTGGAGCTCAATTATTGGGATGCTTTTCTTTCTTCACACACTACCGCTTCTCTATCAACTTAATACAAACACCCCTTGTCAAACAATGGGAGACCCTAAAGATCCTCTGTTTTCGAAGGATGGAGATGTAACTATTGGAGGAGTTTTTGCAATACACAGAAAGGAAACATTGCCTTCTTTTGAGTTTGCACAAAAACCACTACCTCTGTCATGCTCCAGGTTTGTATTTTTTTAAATGATATAGTTTTAAGATAATTAATATAGTATGGTTAAAAACAACAATAATAAAACTGTTTAATACTTATTTCTCCACCTTAAGTATCTGTTAATTTAGTTGCTGTTGAGCCCTCTGATGTAATCTTTGATTTTACAGTGTGAATTTGAGAGATTTTCGGCTGGCACAAATAATGATTTTTGCAATTGAGGAGATAAACAAAAGTAAAAGTTTGCTTCCAAATATTTATATTGGATATCGAATTTATGATACCTGTGGTTCAAGGCTATCTACTATGAGTGCAACAATGGCAGTACTGAGTGGTCAGGAGTTTAGGCCAAGAGACAGATGCAATGATCAGCCTCCTTTACATGCTATTCTCGGTGAATCAGAGTCTTCTGCCACAGTAATTTTGTCCAGAACTACAGGACCTTTCAAAGTTCCAGTGGTAATAAGCAACAGTAACAAAAATTAACAAATCACCTTAATGAAGAGTGCATTATTCATCATTCATGATTTCTTTTTCAGATAAGTCCTTCAGCCACATGTGAATGTCTCAGCAATAGGAAAGATTACCCCTCTTTCTTTAGGACTATTGCTAGTGATTACCACCAGAGCAGAGCACTTGCATACATAGTCAAGCACTTTGGCTGGACTTGGGTGGGAGCTGTGAGCAGTGACAATGACTATGGAAACAATGGAATGGCCATATTTCAAAAAATTGCACAGGAGGAAGGGATTTGTGTTGAATATTCTGTGAAATTCTACCGAACAGAGTCTGATAAACTCAAAAAAGTGGTAAATGAAATTAAAAAAGGCACAGCGAAAGTAATTGTTGCATTTGTTTCATTTGTTGAGATGGGCTTACTTATTGATCAATTGAGTATTCAGAATATTACAGGCTTCCAGCTGATTGGTGTGGAATCATGGATAACTACAAAAAATTACTTCACTCCAAATAGTTTTTCCTCACTGAGGGGATCACTGGGATTTGCAGTGAGAAAAATCAATATTGAAGGGTTTATAGATTATGTTATAAAAGCATTCTGGGATACAGCTTTTCCATGCACCAAGACTGAGGGTAATTCTTCTCAATATTCAATAAGTTGCACCAGATCTGAGGACTTACTTGAGCTAAAAAACTACACTGAAGATGTGCTTGAACAAAGATATGCAAGCAATGTCTATAAAGCAGTTTATGCAGTAGCTCATTCATTACACAGTCTATTGGGGTGCGAAAACCAAGGATTGTGTGATAAAAATAAGCCAATACGCCCGCAACAGGTAAAAAAAAAAAAAAAACATCGGTATCGGAAAGTATGATAAATTTCGATTCTCTCAAAATAATTGGTCTTTGTCTCTTTCTTTAAAAAGATGGTTGAAGCCCTACAAAAGGTTAATTTCACCATACAAATGGGAGATCAGGTGTGGTTTGACAGCACTGGTGGTACGGTGGCCCATTATGAAGTTGTAAACTGGCAGCAGGACTTTGATGGTTCATTCCAGTTTAAAACAGTGGGATACTATGATGCTTCACTTCCCCCTCAGCAACGCTTAATGCTAAATACTAAAAATATAATTTGGGCTGGAGGACAGCAGAAGGTAAATCCTATTAAACTTTTTATACTGCCATTTGATTTTAAATTAAAACAATGTGTAATCAAAACATTCACAACTTGTATTTAGACTTTTCTGAAATGTAGAAAGATCAAAAGAAATAGAAATGAGAAAATGAGTTACATATAAGTAGGTCAACACTTTATAATGATTCTAACGTCACATTTAATGTAACGTGAGGTAATCGTATTGACCCTAAGTAGGGCTTACGCACATGGTAAAAAAAATAAAGAATTGGTTCTGGATAATGATGTGGGTGTTAGAGGCAGAAAGCTGCCAGCTGCTGGTAAGAAAATCAATGTAAGTAAGCAAAATAGCTGTAGCAAAATACACATCAATAGTTTACAACAGCTGTGACAAAGTTGCTTTGTGAGCACCTTTCTAAAATCGTATGATGGCCACTGTATGCAAATATTCTAAGTTGAAAGTGCAAATGAGGTGCACCATTTAGGACAGTTATTATTTGTTTCATCACATTAAACAGTCACTCTGCTTCTCTGTGCATTTTTAGTGATGCCAAATGGCTTTATTTATTAACAGTTGTGAATGATGTATCACAGGAAAACACATGCATATAATATGACGTTATTTTAATAATTTTATTAACTAAAATTATTGACAAAACAATCTTTATCCTTTAGTCTCAGCTTAAATATCTTTATGTATATTTTTTACATGCAGAAGCCAAATTCTGTATGTAGTGAGAGCTGTCCTCCAGGTACTAGGAAGGCTGCACAAAAAGGAAGACCTGTCTGCTGTTATGACTGCATTCCATGCGCAGAGGGAGAAATTAGCAATGAGACAGGTAATCTTCAGCCGAATTGGTTAGTTTTTCTTTTATTGCATATAAGTGAAATCATTTTAATTTGCTTTCTAACTTTTATTACAACTTCAATTACAGATTCAATTAACTGCAAGCAGTGTCTGGAGGAATACTGGTCTAATGCTGAGAAAAATAAATGTGTGTTAAAAGCTGTAGAGTTTCTATCATTCACAGAAATTATGGGTATAATACTAGTCTTTTTCTCACTATTTGGAGTAGTACTAACCACACTAGTGACTGTCCTGTTTTACAGGAAGAAAGACACTCCCATAGTAAAAGCCAACAACTCAGAGCTAAGCTTTCTATTGCTCTTTTCCTTGAGTCTGTGTTTCCTCTGTTCACTCACTTTCATTGGTCGACCCACCGAGTGGTCTTGTATGTTGCGTCACACAGTGTTTGGAATCACTTTTGTCCTTTGTATCTCCTGTGTCCTTGGGAAAACAATAGTGGTGTTAATGGCCTTTAAAGCTACGCTTCCAGGAAGTAATGTCATGAAATGGTTTGGGCCTGTCCAACAAAGACTCAGTGTTCTTGCCTTTACACTTATACAAATTATTATCTGTGTGGTTTGGATAACACTATCTCCTCCATTTCCCTACAAAAATATGGAATATTATAAGGAAAAGATTATTATAGAGTGCAATCTGGGTTCTACATTAGGCTTCTGGGCTGTTTTGGGTTATATCAGCCTACTGTCTGTCTTGTGCTTTGTTCTGGCTTTTCTGGCTCGGAAGCTGCCTGATAACTTTAATGAAGCCAAATTCATCACATTCAGTATGCTTATATTTTGTGCTGTATGGATTACTTTTATACCAGCTTATGTCAGTTCTCCTGGAAAATTGACTGTAGCTGTGGAGATATTCGCCATTTTGTCATCTAGCTTTGGTTTACTATTTTGCATTTTTGCACCTAAATGTTACATCATCCTGCTTAAGCCTGAACAAAATACAAAGCAACATATGATGGGAAAAACTTTAAAGTCATATTAAAAAAATAAAATGTCATCTGTACTGGTACTGTAATAGCAAAATATTTATTTTCAAATACAAAAAAAAAGGGTATTCAAACAATATCAAGTTTAGACATTCATCGCATTGTCACAGAAATGTTCTAAGGCTAGTTCAATAACAAGATTCATTATGGTTTTGTTTTAGCTTAGTTTTTGTTTTGTGAATAAATTTCTGTTTAGCTTTTAACTACAACCGCAAAAAAAAAAAAAAGTTGGGACAGTATAAAAAAAGAATGTAGTGATTTCCAAATTTGCTTTCACCTGTATTCTATTGCAGACAATGCAACAAAACATTATTTAATGTGTTCCTCGTGATTTTTATTAATTAATTATTTATTTTTTTATTTCAAAATAAACACTTATTCCAATTTTGGTTCGTGCAAAAAAAAGAAAAAGAAAAATTGAACCAGGAGTAATTTAGGGGTAGTAATGAGGTAAATTGGTTTAATAATGATGTGATTTGAAACTGGTGACATCAACAGGCGATTGTAATTATGATTTTTACAAAAGCAGCATCCGAGAAAGGTGGGCAGAGGGTCGCCAGTTTCCCAACAAATAAGTGAGAAAATTATTAAAATGTTTAAAAACAATGTTCCTTAAAGAAAAATAGGAAGACTTTTGGATTCTTCACCTTTAACAGCGCATAACATCATTAAACGGTTTAAGGAATCTGGAGGAACTTCTGTGTGTTAAGGACAAGGGTACAAGCCTAAGCTGAAAAACGGTGATCTCTGATCCCTCAGGCAGCACTGCATCAAGCATCCTCATTCATCTAAAAGCAATATCACCATATGGGCTCAGGAATACTTTGGCAAACCTTTATAAAGTGCCACAATATGTAGTTACATCCACAAATGCCAGTGAAAACTGCCATGTGCCAAAAGAAAGCCCTATGTTAAAAGTGTCCAGAAGCACTATCGACTTTTTCGGGCTTTGAAAAACACCATATGCTCTGGACCAAAGACGAAAAGAATCATCCAGACTGTTACCAGCAAGTTTAGAAGACAGGCTCTGTCATGGTATGGGGTTGTGTCAGTGCCCTTGGCAAAGGTAACTTGCACTTATGTGATGGCATCATTAATGCTGAAAATGACAGTAGATTTTGAAGCACAATATGCTGCCTTTTTTTCCAGAGACGCTCATGCAACAACACAATGTAAAACCACATTCCGCACAAATTACAGTGTCTTGGCTGTGGAAGAAGAGGATACAGTTACTTGACTGGCCTTTCTGCAATCTCCAATAGAGAATATGTGGCACATTCTGAAGTGCAAAATGCGATAACGAAGACCCTGTACTGTTGCCCACCTTAAGACTTGTTTGCAGGATGAATGGGACAAAATTATACCTAAAACACTTCATTACTTTGGTGTCTTTAGTCCCTAAACGTCTTTTAAGTGTTGTGAAAAGGAATGGAAACATTACAAAGTGGTAAATGCTGTACTGTTCCAAATTTTTTTTTTTTATGTTTTGCAAAAACAGCCATCTTTGTGGTGGTAATATCTGCAAAATGTACCTGTAGCTTTTGACCACTGGGTGGCGCTTTAACCATAGTCTTCATCAGCTACAACATCAACATGAAATTTTCATAGTGGTCAACTTTGCTCTTTCACAATACAAAATAGGACAGTACTGTACATGTATCACATACACAGGTACTGCAGGTGATGTGATGTGTTTGCTTAAAATAGAATTTGGTTTGGTTGTTAAGTAATTTACACTATATTGCATGGTTTAGAAAAGAAAATATGTCTACAATAGATGGTGAAAAGAATAGCCCATGGTCTGCAAATAAAGGATTTAAGTTCTTCAGCCTTTATAGTGCCCTATTAAATTGCGTTGGGGTAAAAATGATGTTTGATTTCTAAATCCTTTAGTTTTTTTTTCAGGATAACAAAAATAATCTTAAAATATGTAAACAAATAAATGAATTAAACAGATTGTAATGGGATTAATTTTAACAACACAGGGCATGACCTACTTAATAAAGGATTTTGTTTACCTTTTTCAAATTCTGTCTGTTTCACTGCAGGCTGCAATGTGGTATGCAAGATTGACATTGTAATACTGAAACAAATTCAATCAGTTTTGACCATACAGAGTATTTAAAAATAAATAAAATATTCCAACCAATTTAGATATGAATAAACTAAATAAAATAAAGACTATAAAATTATCCAAACAACTTAAGCACAGACAAATCATATCAAAAGTTGTATTTCAAAACTAGGTTCTGCAGGCTTTTCAACTATATAAATATATAAATAAAATTTAAGTCTTAATGGTGGCAACGTGTTGGCGCAGTGAGTAGCACGTTCGCCTCACAGCAAGAAGGTCACTGGCTCGAGCCTCAGCTGGGTCAGTTGTCTTTTCTGTGTGGAGTTTGCATGTTCTCCCCGTGTTTATGTGGGTTTCCTCTGTGTCCAAAGACATGCAAATTAACACACTTTTAACCCTTTGATGCTTAGAATAACACAGATGTGATCAGTAAATTGATTTTAATAGGCTAAACTTTTTATTTTATTTTTCTAATGTTTGTTATGTATTCTATCATTTGAATTGATTCTATCACTTTAGATTTAAGTACAGCAGTTTTCTTTTCACTTTTTGAGTACAGCGTCATTTCTAGAACACCATTCGAATCTTATCCAATTTTTACTGAATTCTAAAGAGTTTTCCAATTCTTGTCTACAAAAAATGCAAAGACGCCAAAAATAAAATTTAAAAATAAATAAATAAATGTAGACAAAATTGTTTAGCCTCTTCATACAAAATTATTTGCTATTTATGTTGTCCTTTTTATGTCAAAGAAATTATATAGTGGTTGACGAGGTTACTTCTCTCATTTTGTAAATGTGTTGTGTAGGTGAATATTGAAGGATCCCGGATCTTTTAATCTTGACAACTGATCTCTCGCTAATTTGGTTCTTCAAACGAGTTCGCGAATCAGATTAGAATGTCTGGATAAACTGATCTGAGATCGCTGCGTGTGTTGTGAAGGACAGATCTATCGATCCTCGAAATCATGATCAGCAATGCAACAATTGGCTGACGGCACAGCAGCGTAATGACATCATCTGATTTATATTCAATTATCCATGTGAGCAAAATTACATCAAATTAGCAGTAAACGGCTTGTTAAATATGATGCGCAATAACCTTCCACATTTGTTGTGAGCTGCAGGCTTTACACTTTCATGTGTCAAGAGTATTCATCATGTATTTCAATGCAAATCAATATATTTAGTTCCACATTTAGAAAATATTTTCTTTATTATAGTAGCCGTTTTTTAATCAGTGTAAAGAATAACTGGTTGTTTACAAAAGCGTTTTCATATTGGTAAAGGCGTCTGCAACTTTTGTGAAGCATCAATTCACCAGCATATTAACTATAAAAACATGTTTATGACTGCTGAAATGTATTACTGCTTTTAAAAAAAGTCACATATTGTGCATTTCTATTATACACAATTTGTACTAAAGCGATCTAAAAAGTTCATATCAATACGTTTTCTCTTTGCACCACCAGGTGGTCTTTGTACTTTTATTTCGAGGGTGCAGATTGCATACGTTTTATTAATATGTATAACTTAATTTTATTTTATTAATGACTATAACTTTATATATATATAGTTAAAAAATATGTACCATTTTCCCAAGTGTATATAACTACTACTGTAAGAAAATATCAGAATTTGGAACATACTTTCTGTATTATCTTTGCTTGAACTAAGCCGATCTAATCGTGTATATATGAATTGAACCTGCTACCGATCAGGTTTGACCTAGCAGAGCTGTTGCTATGACAACAGCTCTCGGATCAGCTTTGAAGAACGAAACGATCCTGGATCGTGTCAAATCGTCAATAACCAAATCCAGCTAACTGAGTAATCCACGTATGAAGAACGGACCCCAGGATCGTTTCGTTCTCCAAAAAGTTTTTGTCATGGTAACAGTTCTGGTAGCTTAAACTTGCACGGGAGCAGGTTTATTTTATATAAACAGGATTAGATTGGCTCATTTAAAGGAAAGGTAATATTAAAAAAGTATTTACCGAATGATGACTTTTCATTTAACAAACCGTTTACTATAACTTTTTATTTAATTTTGCTCACATGCATAATTGAATATAAATCAGATGATGTCATTATGCTGCTTTGCCGTTAGCCAATTGTTGCATTCCTGGGGTCTGTTCTTCGTTCTTGGATTACGCAGTTAGCTGGATTTGGTTATTGTCGATTTGACACGATCCAGGGGTCCGTTCTTCGTACGTGGATTACTCAGTTAGCTGGATTTGGATATTGACGATTTGACACGATCCAGGATCGTTTCGTTCTTCAAAGCTGATCCGAGAGTTGTTGTCATGGCAACAGATCTGCTAGGTCAAACCTGATCGGTAGCAGGTTCAAATCATATAAACAGGATTAGATCGGCTCAGTTCAAGCAAAGATAATACAGAAAGTATGTACCGAGTTTTGATATTTTCTTACAGTAAAAGTTATATACAATTGGGAAAATAGTAGTTCCCCTTCGGGGGGAACTTCAGCACTATAAGTGGATTTGATTGTAAAATCCACGCATTGGGATGTTCGGTTCAGAAGCTACTCGTCTGAAAGAGTATTGAACGGGCCAATTAAGAATGAATTGGCAGCGCAAGCCTGCGCAGGTGAGCGGCATAAGCAATCAACTGAGTATATAAGCTCACCTGGCGCCAGCAGACGCTATCCTTTTCGCTTCAGAGACTTTCTGATCGAGTCGATGAGGGTTCCTCCTGCTGTGCCAGCGATTCTGAGCGAACGAGAGCATTCTCCCGGTCCAGAGTGTGTACACGCAGTGGCAGACGGTCGAGCTGGGTTTCTCCCTTGCCTGGCGTTCTTTGGGTCCGGTCCTCCAGAGCGGTGCGTATAAAGTTGCAAACTTCACAGAAAGAGCAACACAGTCGTGCAGCACGTCCTTATCAGGACGGCGCTCCGACTGTGC